GAAACTTCTTGTATTTCTTAGTCAATAAGACGTGTAGCTCGTTAGTGGTAAGCATGTATGTTGAACTTTTCTTTTATAATTTGGGCTGTTGGGTCCTAAGTTTTCTTGTCCTGAAGGGTTTGGTTGGTTTGAGCCTTTCTGACCGGCATGGCATAATTTTATTGTTTTACAAGAAATTTGGATGCGAGTACTTTACTAGTCACTCCTCAAGTTGCGTCTTGAAGTTCGTGGCCGTGCTTCCTAAGTTAAGTTTCATGCGCTTTCGTTGTGGTTTTCTGACAGTGATTTAAGTTCTCAGTCTGCTGTCTTTTGTGAACGTTGGGATATGAAATACAGAGAGATTGGCGTAGTTTGGCTCTCGTGACTGTAAGCGTTCTTAAACAGGTTTTTTGCGCTTTTTGCAGAGTAAGTGTTGGTGTTGAAATAGCGGGTAGTTATCGTACGCTGGTTTGGGGTATCGTTAGGGATGGTGGTCAGGAAGAGTATTACTTTTGTTTGTTTTTCGTGTAGATGAGGTTCAGGAACTCTATCGCGGAATTTATTTCTAGTCCGTAAGCAGTTTTAGGTACTTGAGACTTGTAATTGGTTCAAGCCGCTGAGCAGGTGACTGGTTTTGATAGCACGTTTAGCGGGGGAACAACTGAAGGGACGGCGGTCAGGCCTGAAGGAACGACGCCGCGGCGGATGGGTATGACCACTGTCGGTTGTTAAGTAGTTCTTATGTGTACGAAGTTGGCTGGTCGGAACATTTGACAAGATATTTCTTTTTGTGTGGTTGGGTGTAATAATCTTGAAAAGGAGAGTGAAGCAGAGTTGGCATCGAAAACGTCCCTATTTTATTTGAATTTACTCCTGAACAGTAATTGGCTGGTGTTAGTCATTGGTTATCCTTCCTGATAATATTCCGAAGAAAACCACCATCTTTGTTGCTTCTTAAATCGTGTGCTAAATGTACTTTGTTAGTGGGAGGGTAAGAAGTATACAGATTGTCTCTGATAATTTATTTTTGTTCTATTTCTGATAGTTTTTTGAGCGTACGCTAGAGAGTTAGGGTTGGCAGTTAAGTTTCTGCGTTTTTTTTAAGTTTTGACATTCCTTATGTGCAGGAATTTTAGTGGGCTTTTGGAAATATGTTAACTAATGGAGAATTGCAACTGGTTATTCAACAATGTCTTTTCTCGTTTTAAAATCTCACTCCTGCAGCAGACGTCACAAGCAACTTTCGCTTCTTTGCAACCTGGATTAAAAGGAGAGAAAATGAGTTATTAAAATTGCACATTTTGCTCAAATTGATATTTTATATTAATCACCTGGTGATTGACTAGATTAGTTTTGATTCAAAAAAAATTTGGTGGAACAGAACAATTTGCTTCAAATGGTCTAGAAAGCAGTAACGAAAACGTTTAGTGGTATTGAGAATGTTAAAGTTTTGAAAGGAAACCATAGATACTTAGCTGCCATCTAATAAAATGTTTTAAGTTTATTTTAAATTCATTTTCGTTGTTTTACGCTGCCTTTCACCTGTGTTTGTATGATGGAGTATAAAATGGAGAGCACATTTCGTTTTCACTTGCTAGGTTCTACTGGACTTCTAACTTGCATTAACTTTTTCTTCAACTTGAGTTACTAAAATTTAGCATAAGTTGGTCAACTAGCCTTTACCGATCTATGTTTAGCGGTGATTGTGCTTGTTGACAGAGAAAAAACCATGAAAGTTTTCATTATGAGAGGTACAGATTTACTGAAAATATGATTAAAAAATGAGGTAATTTTAAGTTTTGCCTTTGCCATAGCAGATAGGTGGAGTATCTTGGCGCAAAAATATTAATGAAGGAGGTGGATTAAAAGGTAACGTTAGAAACTTTCTGGCTTTTAACGAGTTGGCACATATTATATTCATAAAAATAATTAAGAATTTTGTTAAAAAACTTAGGTATGACACCTGCAGTTGCAGTTAGGCTGTTGAATGCAGACGCAACTTTCCGAGCCCTCTTTAAAAAACTTGGTGCAAAAAATTAGACGAGATAACTTATCAGCATTTCAAGAGGTTCCACCAAATTCTCAATTGTAGCAGTTACGTGACCACCCCTGTTGTAACAACAATCGTATCGTATTAGTCTTTTTGCTGCTAGAATATTTGTATCTTTCTCTTCCTTTTTTGATTTGTTTGTTCACTTTTTCACTTCTTATTCATTTTCCGGTAACCGCCGTTAAAAATACTTGATAAATTCCTTGTACGAAAGGTGTTGTCAACATTTGTTTCGCAACTAAAACAGTTTTTAGCGGAAGACGGAAAGGGATGAGTAAGTGTGATTACGAGATGAATATTTTTGACAACAAGTTTTAAATGTCGCACTGCTACTGCAACAAATGACATTATCCACTGAACGAATCAGCCACATTATTTGCTTTTTTCGACAATAGGCTAAAGGTTTTACAGTAAATAGCAGCACATTAAAAGTATAAGCAAAAAAATTGTATAGTAAGTGCAAAATTAGATTAAAACAGCCGTTACATTCTTTCACTTTTTTTTCCGTTTGTGACAGTCACCTATATCAGTAGTATTTCTACAGATAATAATAAGTTAAATATATCGTACATGGCACTGATCAATGGAATAAAAATGAGGAACAGAACAAAACAGAGGAGTAAAATAAAACTGGCTTTAGTAATGTCCTTGTACTATCTGAATATACTGTATTGGTATCCATCCAGTTCGGCCTTCCGAATTTCGTACTTTCCAAAACAGTGACTTTCTGGCGACAACCTGAAATTTGTAATTACAGTATCATTACTGATCAAACAAGAGATTAAATTTTGAGTTAAAGTTTTTTTCCGAGAAAATATGTATACCCAAAATGAATAAGAAAATTCAACTTACGTCAAAGATTTCGCCCCAATGAGCATTAATCTCATCTTGATTTCTTCCAACTACATCAGTTAAAGCCTGAACTTGCATTGATGATATTTCTGCAGTTTCTTGTGGCACTTCTTCTGCAAAGTTTTCTAATGGCTCTGGTTCTTCTGGCGTAATGCTGAAAAGTTGGAACTTGTCAACATGTTTTAGAAAGCGTTTAAGTGGTATCTTACCTTCTTTCAACTTTTTTTGGTCACAGAAATATTAAATCAGTACTGCAATTGCGATATAAGTTGTTAAATTATATAGCAAAATGAAGCTACTATGTACTATGTCTGGCTAAATACATAAATTAAACTTATGCATGCATCTATTTGGCATTCTCTGTGTACTTAAGTACTCCGTTTTCTGCAAGACTACTCTGTAACTATGATGACTTTGAAGATGCAGCTCAAAAAACGCAGTTGGTCTCGACAATAGTAATAATAGAACTGTGAAATAAAAATCAAGTTTTAAGCTTTGTATAAGGGACAAATAAACTAGTAAAATGAAATTTTTAGAGGTTGTTTGCTTTGATTTCTAAGTAGCTGACGGTCAAAATAAGAAAAGGAAAGCAAAAACTGCCAACTTTTTTCTGTTAAAAACCCGTTATAATTGCAGCTACGGAGAAATGGCGGAACACTTTTCTTAGATTTCCTAAAAATTTAGTGAATGACTGAAAAGAGTCTGTCGCTGAAGGACGAACAATATACTTTTTAGCGTTTTGGATGCTACGACAAGTCCTATACAGTTGTTTCTCTCAAACTAAGACAAGACCGACTTTTGGCTAATTTCAATTGAATAAAAAAGAAAAAAAAGTTTTGGCGATAATCTAAAGTGTAAAGAAATCTTTTTTATCAAAGGAAGATCTTATTTAAAAAAGTATAACTTTCTTTGAGCCTGTTTGGTTATAGTTGGATAAAGAGCAAAAGTAGGCTCAAAACGCTGCTATTTCACTTTAGATCTCTAAGGTGCACAAATATAAATACGTCAGGAAGTTGCAAGTTGACGAACTTGAAAAAAAAGAGTCGAGTTTCAGTAGCGATGAAGACGGCGAAAAAAACAGTACTGCTAGTGATAAACGAAATAGATAAATAGAATAAAACATAATTTTATTTCTCATGAATAAAACTTTAAAGCTCCATCTATTGCACTGCTTTACGACGTAGTGTAGAAGCTACTGGATCACCTGGAACAGCGAATTAAAAGACAAAAAAGTGATATCGGGTATAGCGTGGAATATAACACAGTTGCAAATCAAAAAACTGACTTTTACTGCTGCTTCTTCAAAGACTATTTTTTTTTATCCAACGGATGCTTTTATTCAAAAAACGTTTATAAACTTTTGAAATTTCGTCGGTTTTTTGTTAACGTGCTTTGAACTAATTCTCATTTCCAAAAACTGTGGAAAGGTTATGAGATTTACGTTCCACGTTAATTTTTGGAGGGACCAGTCGTGTATAAACTACTAATAAACAAGTGAGAGAAAAAATTAAAATAGACAAAAACCCAAAAGTTCTAGATAAAATTTTATGGTACATTACAGCTTTGATCTTTTGTAGACAAATTAAAGAAGTAATAAGTCAAATAAACGTTTATGTTTGTCTATTTTGATTTATAAGACATTTTAAAGATGTAACCGTTATAAAAAGTTGTAAAAGCAGAAGAAGAAAGGCATAAAAGTTAAATACAGATGTTTGCTAGAAGAACTGATACTTAGTTCTCAAGATCAAACTATTTTTGGGTTCACTGCCGATGCCACCGAATGAGACGTAAAGAACTTTATATGCAATATTAGATTTCCGTTTTTTAAACTAGTCTCTAAGTCTCTACTAACTTTTCAAGTGAGAAGTAAACAGAAGTACATATTATACTTTGAGAAATTCTTCATCTGATTTTTGAATAGTAACCTAAATGAAACAGAAATAGACAAAGCTGCGTAATTTTGCTAATTGTCTTTTTGAAGCTAGATGCTTCTTTTCTTTGCAGATTGTATGCGAAATGAGCAGTAAAAAAATTGAGAAATACTTCCTTAATTCCACTAATATTTTTTTTTT